CCTGTATGGGCTACACACCAGTATAGGCCCAATTTATGGTTCAGACCAAATAAGCCCATATGAAGCAAACATACAACAAAGAGTAAAGTCGAATGTTGTTTAGTAGAAACGAAAGCTGAGATGAGAGAAACTCTTGATTCTCTCCTCTATACCCACGAAAAAGAATAATCTCCCCTCCTTCTTTGGTTGCACCACTTAAAGAACGAATCCATGAAACTTCCCATAAAAGAAAAACTATTGACTTTTGGAATCTGTCCTTAATGATAGAAGATATGTGATTCTGACATGGCATTCTCTAGATGATTTTTTTCTGTGATGAGGTGGACACTCTAAAAAGGCTCAAATTGTCCATTTTATTAGTTAATATATTTATATATCCCGTATATGTGTTTGTATATCCAAACAAACAATATATTTGTCTGATTATTTTGCGATTTTATTTATAGTTTATATATTATCTTGCGATCTTATATATTTAATTTTTTTGATTATTTGTTTAATTTCTTTATTACCCTCAGTTTTTTATTCTCATTTAAAACTTTTTCTAATGATATTTCAATGTAATTTCTTACAATTTAAAGGTTAGTTTTATTTGTGTACTTCTCAATTAATATAGTAGGATTTGATGGACATGTGCAATAAGCCTATAACACGAAATAATGTTTCTTTTCTTTTGGTGTTAGGTTTATATCTTATATGTATTTTTATAATTCAATACTAGGTATTAACCCGTGCTATAGCACCGGCAATTCGGTTTGTCAAAAAAAAATTTTTATGGTTTCTCTTTTGAATATTTTTTTGAAGGGGTAGCACGGGTTACTACGAAATAAGACACGGTCTCAGGAACACTCAAATGATTCAAAAAACAAAATAAAACACGGCCCAGCGAACACTCACACGGTCAAATAAACACTGATAGGGTCAAGCGAATACCCACACGATCGAATGAACACAAATGTCGTTACAATATACTTGGTGGTTTGCGCACCCACTCTACGGCAGTATTGAAAACTGGATTTTATGTTAGTTATGTAAAGTTAAACATGATATTCATATATGCATTTTAACTATCTTCCCTTTTAATATTTTTCTGTTTATAAGTTATGTTATTGTAACGCCCGTGTCTGGAAATCCGGGTGGTGTCGATCGACACTGTGGTCGGGTGTCGATCGACACTAGTAATTTTGGTTTGACGGTTTAAGTTTTAAATTGTCGGTTCAATTGAGGTTTTGGTTAGGGTTTAACCCTAGGTCACGTTTAAAAGAGTGAAAGTCGTGTTTTGTTGTGAGGTGGCCGCTTTTATTCTTTTAAAAGGTTTCTAAGTTCTCTAGAGAGGTTTTGTGGGGTTTGAGAAGTGTTTTGAGGCTGGTTCCTGGTGTTTCTGTCCTTGGGAAGAGAGATCTCGTAGCTGTGGTGTTAGGAGAGTCCTTGGTTGCTGTTGTTGTGGTCTGTTCGTTCTTGTTCTGTCCTTTTGAAAGGTGAGTGCATGACTAGGCTGATCTAAGCAGTTTTGATACATATTTTGGGTGTTTCTTCTGATTGATATTTGATTTCTGTGTTTGTATGCTTGTCTATGTGATATGGTGTCTTGGTACAAGTCTGGGAAGGAGATAGATCAGGCCTGGAGTCCTGGAGTTGGTGGATTCGTCGATGAGAAGCGGCTGGAGCGATGTTAGTGTTTCGGTGTCGCTCGACACCAAGGGAGGGTGTCGATCGACACCAACTTTCTTTCTCGCGAGAATGGTCGCGAGTGTCGAGCGACACCAGCGGGTCGACACTGCTCGTCAGAACGGGTCATGTTGTGTTGTTTGGCGTTGTATTGGTGGTTGTTTGAGTTATACTTGAATGTGTTCATTTCTGCTTGTGTGTATAGCCAGTGGTGGGATGATTGCCTCACTAAGTATTTATGAAATACTTATGCATCTCTTTCTTTGATGTAGGTAAAAGCAAAGTGTGATCCGTGGAATCATGGCGAGGAGAGGAGGATGATCTAGGCACTCATTGGTGTTTTAGGTTATTGTTGGATTTATTAGGGTGTTAGATTGGAATTTAGAAACATGTTAGGATGATCATGTTTTGGAATAATGTTTGGTTGAACTTGTTGGATAATGGAATTGTTTTATTGGATTTTTGGTTAAGTCTTCCGCTGGTTAATATTGTTGGTTTACTTTAATGAGATTGTTTGGTTTAATTGATTTAAATTATTATGTCGGTTTAGCTGGTTCGAATTAATTGAGTTAATCCGGTTTGATGTTTAAAGGGAAAAAAAAATGGGATGGGTTCTTTCAGTTATTCAGTTAAAAAAAACAATTAAAAAGCAATTAAAATAAGTTTTTATTTGTAAACCTACTATTAAAAAGCAACAACGTATAAATAAACATTATGACATTATGTTTAAAGTGTAAAAGAATATTGTTATAATGATTCTCAATGTTAAAGCAACATTTTAATCCACCTACAACAAAAAATAGGCATAATAAGTTTATATGTAGTTGAATCCAAATACATAAAAGATATGAATTAAAATAAAACCTAAAATTATGTTTTACCTTGAGAGATCCTAAGGATGCATTAAATGTTCTAAAAGATTTATTTGAAGACAATATTCTTTGTTTTTGTTAGCGGTTTTCCTTTTGCATCTAATTATCATAACTTTCAAGCCAGATTTTGAACTTACCTGGCATATTGCAACGTATAGCTGGCCATGAGAGAAAACCGGTTGTGGTAAATATATCCCAACTTTAGCAAGTGATTGTTCTTGGTTTTTGTTGATGGTCATTGCAAAGGCAACATATACGCCTGATTTTCAAAGGCAATCTTGAATCTGATGGTGTTAAAACCATTCTTGGTAACATAATTGATTTCCCAACACTCGTACCCGTTTGGATTCGTGCTGGCAAAACATGATCTGCCATTTGTAGAATCTGCAGTCTTGTACATTCATCAGACCTCCATGGGCATCAATGTTGCGCAACAACATTACTAGGCAACCCATTTTTAAACAAAGAGCATGGTTTGGTACACACAAAAATCCTGATTGTATTTAAAAAATCTAGACTATATGCAGGATTTTCTTTCTTTCGTTTTTTGGAAGGATCGAGACTATCAAAACTTAAGTAAATCCGTTGTTCACATGTTAAATGATATACATAAATATAATTACATAGGTGTCGAGAAAATTATTGACTTACTTCAATAGAAATTAAAAGATATAAGTTAAATATACTTACTAACCATCTAGTGTTGACTGCATGTGGTCATTAATTAAGCTGACATCATTATTGGTATGACTTAATATAGCTCGGCTTTGGAAATCTTTAGCATGCTTTTCTGTGGAAAACAAATTCCCGATACTTCTTTAATAAGTGATTCAATAGGTTTGTCTACTTCTGTGATAAGAAACTCTCCCGGGATATCAGTATCAACAACTCCATCATTTGGCTTGTTTAGTTTGCCTTCTCCCACATCAAGTATCCATTTAGAGAATTCTTCAATTTCTTGGGCATAATTAGAACTAATGTTTTGCAGAAGCCTCATATTCTTTGTAAACTTCAAAACTTTACAATGCTCCCAAAGGTAAGATGCATTTAATGATGAGTTAACTATCTGTTCTCTACCAACACCAAGTATAACATGAGTATATGTCGGAAATCACCACCAAAAAGAATAACTTTTGTTGGTGTAGGAATTAGCACCAACGACATACCGGCCTAAACCAAGACGAAATTGAATTAGACCAATAAATCGGGGAATCCCGGTTTATTGTTGTTTAAATACGAAGGCGCGTTCATTCCTAAAATGGAATGAACGACCTCACGACATTAGGGTTTCGAAAATCCTAATTGAATATTTATGACAATATCCTCTGTAAATCTAAGGAATGGGAGCATTTATTGTAATCCTAGATCCTTTGTATAAATAAAGAACATGCCTCTATTTTTAGGGCATCGATCATTAATACTAAAAACCCTAGTTCTTCATTTGTTCTTGAGCAAACCCTAAATCGTTCATTTCAAGGTTGAATTAGTTCTTCTAAAATCCGTTCTAATCGAGTTCTTGAGAGATTGTTCAAAGTGAATTTATTCTCCTTTCCTTAATAAATTCATTGTGTGAATCCTTGGTTCAACAATTGGCGCTAGAAGGAGGGGGGGAATTTTTTCCTTTCTAGAAAACATCTTCCTAAGTAACACTTCTCTCAACTCGGTTACCGAAGCGATCCACCTTGAGATGTCTCCGCAACTCAACTATGTTGACTCACGCCCAAACGAGGAACCCAACGTGGAGCCCCGTACTGCCAACTCAACCTTCAACGAGAGGCTTGACGAAGAGATCCGTCAAATGGATCTCCCGGCACCGCCGACTGGAGCCGCTGAACGCCGTCAAACTGGCGAAGTGGAAAACGGCGCAATCGCCACCCGAAGATCCGAAGGTCAACCCGCGGACGAACCCCAAATCGCTTCGGTCGCTCCAGTACAGCCACCTATTCAGGAAACCGTATCTATGGACGACCTGCGTATAGTATTCGGAAGCATGACCAAAGACATCTATGATCGAATCGCGGCAGCTGACCACATAATGGATACGATCGTGCGCAATCGCACGCCTGAGTCTAATACACAAGATGTAAGTTTCGATGTCCCTCCTCCCGATCAGGTCGGAGGATACATGGTGCGTCCCCCAGCCCCAGTTGGACATTCATGTGTAAGACCCTCGCAAACTGGGACTCGACCTCGAGCATTCGTGACAGCGTCCAGCCAACCCACAGACGTACCGGGTTCCGGGCGTGATTAGGATCTAGAAGATCTGTACGCAAAGATAGCCGACATAAACTCTCAGGTCCACCGAGTCTCCAGCTCAGCCCCGGTAATCGACCGTATGTTTGAAGAAACTCAGCGGACTCCCTTCACGAACCGCATCACTCAGGCTCGAATTCCGCATATCAATTTCAGGTTGCCTACATACGACGGGGATAAGGACCCTCGTACTTTCATGACGCGTTCATGGCTGCGGTCACAAAGGCACATTTTTCCGAACAGGAGAAAGATACGGGGCATTGCCAGCTTTTCGTTGAGAGTCTGACTGGCAATGCTCTCACCTGGTTTTCTCGACTTAGTCCGAATTCGATCGATAACTTCGCCCAGTTGTCGACCTCATTCCTTCGACACTACTGGCATTTCATACAACCCGGAGCTTCCAGCATCGATCTCTGGGACACAACACAGGAAGCCGATGAAACTCTGCAGCAGTACTTGGTGCGATTTAAGAACCTGCTGGCCAAAGTTTTAGTTCCGGAAGATGCCGCCTTGGCCGCGTTTCGAAAAGGGCTTCTTCCAAGATCGTCCCTACGAAAGGATTTGGCCATCCGCGAGCCAAAAGATCTCGACGACGCACTACATCGCGCGTCCAAATACGCACTTTTCGAAGAGGAAGATGCCAAGTTAGCGGCAAAGTCTGAAGCAACCCGTCCCGCACCCCGAGACCGAAAGCGCGAAGACTACCGGGAACCACGGAAGCACCATGAGGGAAAGGACGCTTCAGGCGGTACGATTAGCGCAATCTCCATAGAAGTCAATAACCAAAAAAAATCGCCCAAAGAATCGTACTGCACCTTCCACAGGTTCGCCGGACATTCAACCGAAGAGTGCAAGCATCTCTCCAACTACCTCCTCGACAAATATAAGTCCGGCGAAATAGAAGTTGTATTCCAACCAAAGGAGTATAGGGGACAACGACCTAACGGAAGGCGCGGGCGTGGTCGAGGCCGAGGCTAGGGGACGCGCCAATATCGGGAAGACGGCCTTGATCGGCGAGATCGACCTAAAGAAAGGCGAAGTCTCGAGCGTCAAAATGATGAGGAAGGAGAACTACCGGGACCGCCGAAAAGGCAGAGAGGGCAACGACCGCAGCACGCGGGCTCGCCAGCTCGCGGACGGATAACCATGATACTGGGAACGCCTAAAGACTGCAACGACTCGGTTCGGGCCCTCAAAAAAAGTGCTAGAGGACGAGGCGCCGGCTGGTGAACTCATCACGTTCTCTTCTGACGATGCTAAAGGAATACAAAACCCCCATAACGATTCCTTAGTCGTAGAAGTAACCATGGGTAATTACGATGTCGAGCGCGTTTTAGTCGATACCGGGAGCACCGTCAACGTGCTATTCTTAGGCACCCTAGCCAAGATGGGGATTTCAGAATTCGAAATAAAACCGAAAACTCGGACGCTAACCGGTTACGATGGCACGACCCGTCTCGCGATGGGGGATATCAAAATCAACGTTGAGGGTCGGGGGAGTAACAAAGAAGCTCAAGTTCACGGTGGTTGACGCCCCACTAATCTACAATGCGATACTCGGTTTGCCTTGGATTTATGCCATGAGAGCAATCTCTTCTATTTATCATCTATGCGTAAATTTCCCTACGGCCACCGGGATCTATATACTGTACGGCGACCAGAAAATGTCGCGGAACTGCTGCATTATCGAGAAGAAGCAGCGAAGGGACGACCTTGCATAGCAATTAAAGAACGGAGAATGCATCGACGTTCTCCGGAAGCCGGTCCGCACATCTCTCCAATCCCCGAGCTGCCAGGTCATCCAGGTCAATATCGATGAATCCGATCCCTCCCGAACAGTTGGCGTTGGAGCCATGCTAGAAGACCCGATCAAGCAAGAACTGGTAGCTTTCCTAAAAACGAGATCGTCTACGTTCGCATGGTCGACTAAGGACATGATCGGAGTAGATCCCGAAGTAGCTTATCACAAGCTCAATGTGGACCCCACTTTCAAACCAGTTCGCCAAAAAAAGGCACCGACTAGGCATCGAGCGAGCCCAAGCGGTTCAAGACGAGGTACAACGTTTGCTGAAGGCAGACCTTATCATGGAGGTGCAATACCCGGAGTGGTTGGCGAACCCGGTTGTCGTAAAAAAGAAAAACGGCAAATGGAGAACGTGTGTAGATTTCACCGACCTGAACAAAGCCTGTCCAAAAGACTCCTTCCCGCTCCCACAAATAGATCGCCTGGTGGAAGCAACATCGGGAAATCAGTTGTTATCGTTTATGGACCAGATTATGATGCACGTCGCCGACCGCGAGAAAACATCCTTCACAGATAAGGGAACATATTGCAACAAAGTCATGCTTTTCGGTTTGAAAAATGCTGGAGCAACTTATCAGCGCCTTGTAAATCGAATGTTCGCCAATCTCCTAGGGCGGACAATGGAAGTGTATATCGACGACATGTTGGTAAAGTCGTTAGCAGCAACGGATCATGACCGCCATCTCACGGAGTACTTCAATCTCCTCGACGAATACCGGATGAAGCTAAACCCAACCAAGTGCACATTTGGAGTGACATCCGGGGAGTTTCTGGGATACATCGTGACCGAACAAGGGATCGAGGCCAACCCAAAGCAGATAACGGCAGTCTTGGAGCTTCCTTCCCCAACTAACAAACGCGAGGTTCAACGTCTGACAGGTCGGATTGCAGCTCTCAATCGTTTCATGGCGAGGTCGACCGACAAGTGTCTTCTCTTCTATCAACTGCTTCGAGGAAATCGGGATTTTCACTGGGACGAACAATGTGAAGCGGCCTTTCAAGAGTTGAAGACGTATTTAACCAGCCATCCCATCTTAGTGAAACCCGAGAACGGCGAGGTCTTATACCTTTACGTTTTGGTCTCTAGCTCGGCGGTAAGTGGCGCCTTAGTCCAAGACGATCGCAGCGATCAGAAGCCAGTCTTCTATGTCAGCAAATCCTTGAACGATGCCGAAACACGCTACCCAATGCTAGAGAAGTTCGCTTTGGCAATAATCGTCGACGCCCGGAAATTACGCCCATATTTCCAATCACACTCGATCGTCATCTACACTGATCAACCACTTCGGACAGTGCTGCATAGCCCCATGCAATCGGGGAGGATGGCAAAATGGGCTATCGAACTAAGCGAATACGACATCGAGTACCGCTTTCGCCCCAAATTGAAATCGCAGGTTTTAGCAGACTTTATCGTCGAACTCGCCCCAGAACTTGTAGACGACGCACCAAAAACCAAAAGCTAGGTCCTTTACGTCGACGGGTCTCTTGCAACCAAGGGTCCGGAATAGGAGTCCACTTACAATCTCCAACGGGCGAGGTTCTGGAACAATCATTGAAACTCGGTTTCAAAGCATCCAATAACGAAGCCGAGTACGATGCTCTGCTCGCGGGAATGAGACTTGTCAAAGGCATCGGGATAAAGCATATCCAGGTATTTTGCGATTCACAGCTAGTCGTAAGCTAATTCAGTGGAGAATACGAAACCAAGAACGAGCGGATGAGCTCCTATCTAACGTTAGTCCGATCCATCTCGTCCGAATTCAATAGCGCAAACCCTCACAAAGATTCCACGTTGTGACAAGCGCAAACCCGGACCTCCGCCGAGCCATTACCATCGAAAGCATCGACGTACCAAGCATCGGTCAGTCTCATGAAATCAACCTCATCATGAACGATCTGGTCCAAATGGAAATCGATCCGGCCAAGAACGATCCCGGCGTCGAGGAAAACCCCCTTGTCGATTGTCGGGAGGAGATCAGACTCTACATAGAAAGCGGTCAGGTTCCTGAAGATCGATGGCAAGCCCGACGTTTAAAAGCCCGATGTGTTAATTACATTCTAGCCAACGGAGAACTTCTCCGGCGAAATTCTAATGGAACCTTCCTCACTTGCGTTGATCGAGACGAAAGCGAAAGAATCATGGGCGAGGTCCATGAAGGAGACGGCGGGAATCATTCAAGAAGACGCGCGTTAGCTCTAAAAATAAAAAAAGACGGCCATTTTTTGGCAACCATGCTCGCCGATTGCAAAGCATTCGCCCAAAAATGCGAAGCTTGTCAACGGCACGCCACCTTAAAACACGTACCTCCCGAGGCGCTCTCTCGCGTCACAGCGCCTAACCCCTTCATGCGATGGGCCATGGATATCGTCGGACAATTTCCTCCATGCCGCACTAAAAGATTCTTACTAGTGCTCACCGACGTTTTCCCCAAATGGGTCGAAGCGGAATCCTTTAACCAGGTCAAGTCGGCTCACGGAACCGGATTCATCTGAAAATACATTATCTGCCGACATGGTATTCCTTACGAGATCGTCACGGATAACGGCTCCCAGTTCACCTCCTATCTAACGAAGCGGTTCTTCAAGAAATGGCATATAAAACTCAGCACCTCAACCCCGCGATACCCTCAAGGAAACGGCCAGGCCGAGGCGACCAACAAAACCATTCTCGATGGCATTAAAAAAAGGTTAGGACGCAAAAAGTGACTTTGGGCTGACGAGCTGGACGGAGTGTTATGGTCACATCGCACAACACCGCGACGCGCAACCGGATTTTCGCCGTTCGCCATGGCATATGGTGTAGAAGCAATGGTGCCATCGGAAGTCGGGATACCGACACTCCAGCGAACGATGATGATTGCGGACCCAGAGTTAAACGAAGCTCGGCTTCACGATCAACTCGATTGGACCGAAGAGTTACGGGACCAGGCGATGATCCGTATACAAAATTACCAGAATTCGGCAGCAAAGTATTATAACAAGACCGTCCAAGAACGTCGCTTTAATGAGGGCGACCTAGTTTTGCGAGAAGTGTTCGAAAATACTAGGGAACTCAATGCCAGCAAACTCGGAGCAAGATGGGAAGGCCCCTACATCGTCGCACGACGGGTTCATCCAAGCGTCTACGAACTGTCAACCATGGAAGGGCAGCGAGTGCGACACTTCTGGAACGCAGCACACCTCAAAAGGTTCTATTATTAGGTCAGGAATCCGATCACAAAGGTCGATAGATACCTCACTCGGAAGAGGATACCTCGTCTCCTCTTCGGCCCACAAGGAACTTGCCTGCCTCACCAGCTTGAGGATTTTGCTTTTGATCGGAACCCCTTCGGAGACCATCAGCAGAAGGAAACTCTCGACACCTTCCGCACGAACCCTTTGATGAACGATTTCGGCTGCACTATTGAAGGCGACAATGTAAACGCATAGCCGAGCAATGCGGGAGCGATATCCCTCTACTTCCTCACGACGCCCCCGACTCGCAACGAAAGGCTCATCAAACGAATCTAGATCGCCCTCTTGAAGCCACGAGACCTTGATACGCTGGAGAGTGGAGTGTAGGCGGTAGAAATGACCCGACGACAGAGCACGATCTCGAAGGACATCATTGAGCCCATGATTTAAAACGGATTTCTCGATGAAATCCTCAACCCCGAGATACCGCTCGAGGTCGGCTTTAGGACCTTGACGCTGCCAGAGCGACCGGATGTGCATGCTTAGCCTGCAGATACGGGCCTTGTAGGCCTCAGCCTTGGCCTCATCTTCGTCGAGCTGTGCTATCAGACGGCGATCTCCGCGGAGAAAGGAGTTGGCAACAATCCCTCTGGAAGATCCGGCCATCGAAGAAACCCCTTGATGATAATAAGATGGAGACCAAAAGAAGGATATTTATAGCCAGAACCCGCAGTAAATGTAAGCCACTTCCCAACCAACATTTACCGAATGACCAAACACTGAAGGGGCGCGCATCTCCATATCACTTTTTCGCAGCGTTCACGCATCTCCATATCGCTTTTTTGCAGCGTTCACGCATTCCCACATCACTATTCCGCGGCGCCAAACAAAAAAAAAAAAAAATTTATACATATGTATGTATATATATATATATATACACTCCCGACATCCTGGCCAGGTGATCGGTCCGCGTCAAACGCATAATCACTAAGTTTAGGAA